GCCCTAAGACGTCCTAATGACGTGAGAGGCGCTTTGCAAATGTCAGTGAGCCGCACTGTTGGGGTTCCCGTAATAATAGCCCTAATGTGGGTCACTGCAACCCCCGGCTGTTTGAGTGTGTGGTGGGGCCGGGGGTGGGTGGGGGGGTGGGGGGTCTGGTGGGGGGTGCGGGATGGTGAGGTGGGGGGGTGGGATGTTGCTGTGCGCAATTCGGCTGCCGTGTTTCGCCTGCAAAATCAAGCACACAGTCACTACACTTGACGGTGTATCCTTGCAAAGCATTTTAAGTCGCTGGCGTTCCCGTTAACAGTCCGACTTCCCGCCCGACTGACTGACCGGTCTTGTCGGACTTGTTGTGGGGGGGTGGGGGGGAGTTTGTATCTTTGCTTTGTTATTTAACCGCACGTTATATCTATTATTATTGTTATTATTCATATTTCTTGTTGGTTCCTGTGGTTAAGTCGGGACACTTAACGTTGCCAAATGCCTGGTATTCCTGGTGTGCGTCCGGTTACAGTTACGGCAACTTTCACATCAGACTGTGGGGGTGGGGGAGTGGGGAGAAGGAGAGTGGCGGGGGAGGGGGGAGGGGGGGAGGTGGGGGGTTAAACCCATAATTGTGTGAGTTTATGTGCCAGTCTCACAAGAATGGTTCCCGCGAGTCCACCCACACACACCACCACCCCCACACCAAACCCCCCAACCCCCCCCACACACACACACACCCCCACACCAAACCCCCACCCCCCCCCCCCACACACACACACCCCCACACCAAACCCCCCCCCCCCCCCCCCCCACACACACACACCCCCCGCGCTCACAGCTCAGCTTCTGGTTGGGGTTTGCCCAACAGGAAGCAGGAACCCGGTTGTTAGCCGATCGACGGATCGCTTTTTCCCGGGGGGTACAAATCCCTTTAAACAAAACAAAATAAATAATTTGGTCTCTTCGCCCCGCGGCTGTTTGTGGGGCTGACACTGGGCGCGATCGGCTGCCGGGTTCCGCCCCCAAAACACACAGTCACTACACTTCACGGTGTCTCCTGTGACGTGATAAGGCGCTGTAATCAAATGCGAGGATTATTATTATATTGTATTATATTATATTATTAAGTCTGAAATAACATATGGTATTCGCTCGAAATGTCTGAACAACTTTCCAGAAATCCCCCGCGATGAGCAGAGCAGCGGGAGATACGCACAGCCCCCCCCCACACCCCCCCCCCACACCCCCACGTTGTTATAAACGCTCCACTGGCTCACGGTCACGTCACACAGGCGTGTTTTATGATAGTTGACGTCAAGGCATGTTGTTGCCCTCTCTCATTCCCCTACATACATGCGTGTGTGTGTGTGTGCGTGTGTGTACGCTTGTGTGTGTGCAAGTGTGCGCATGTGTGGGCGGGTGCGTGTGTGTTCGCATGCGTGTGTGTGTACGCATGTGTGCGCAGGTGTGAGTGTGTTTGTGTGTGTGCGTGTGTGCACACACCAAGTCTGAGACTTACACAAGGAAACTGGAATCTCACGAGCGGAGAGAAAGAGTGTGAGAGAGAGAAAGAGAGAGATACACATTGAATTTTGTCGGAGAGGTGTGGAGTGGGGAGAGAGTGAGCGAGAGAGAGATGGGGGGAGAGTGAGCGAGAGAGATGGGGGGGGAGAGAGAGATGGGGGAGGGTGAGAGAGAGATGGAGGGAGAGTGAGCGAGAGAGAGATGGGGTGAGAGAGAGAGATGGGGGGGAGAAAGAGATGGGGGGAGAGTGAGCGAGAGAGAGATGGGGTGAGAGAGAGAGATGGGGGAGGAGTTGAATATTTTTTAAAGGCAAAAAAAAAGGGGAAAATTCCACAATAAAGGTCATGTTATGTACTTTTTTTAAAAACAGTTCACGTATTATTTTATTCTTATTTCGCATTTAAAAAGTCCCCAAAAATGATTTGTTTCGCATCGAAAACTTGTTTTAATTGTACCGTTTGAAAGCTTTGCCTTTTGCTCTTTTAGAATTGGTTTGGGATTGACTTTAGACGGGGAAATTAATCATTAAAATAATAATTTCGTATGAATTTTACATCGAAATCGTTTTTTTAAATATTAATTCTGTAATTAAAACGCCTTTTTTTTTTCGGTTGAACAAAGAACCATTCATTTTGGCATTGAAAGTTTTCGGAGAATTATTTCCCGTTAACTTTTGGGGGCGGAAAAGGTTTTTTTCGCGGGTTAAGAAAAAAAATTGATTATAAAATTTGGGCTTGCCTGGATTGCCTACCGTACACTCCTGATAACTGGTCACTTCCCGGAGGGAAAGCGTGTGCTCAGCGATGAGTTATCAGGAGCGGAGAGTTAAACATACGTATAAAATAGAAGTACGTGAATAAATGTGATTTGGGGTTTGTCGGCACGGTGTCAGAACACACAGTCGCTGCACTTCACAGCGGATCCCGTGAAGCGCTTTGAGACGTCTCGACCACGCGATCAGGCGCCGGGTCAAATGCGCGGATTATTATTATTGCTGTATGTTGTTAGCATCACTGTGAGGGGAGAGTGGTCGTCACCGGGACGGACGGCTGTAAGAGGAAGGACTTGATGGTTTCGATCCGCGTCCTCTCTGTCCCCTCTGTCCGAGAGGGGCTGTTTGTTTGCTGGGGTGTGCGAGTTGCCTTGTTATATAGACACACACTGTATAACGTGCTTGAACCAGGGTTGGAGTTGTGCTGTCCTCTCTCTCTCTCTCTCTCTCTCCCCGTTTACTGTCTGCTGCTCTAGGTGTGTCGCCGTGTCTCGACCGTCCTTCCGTCCGTCTCTGCACTCCCTCCCTCCCTCCCTCGCTCCTTCGCTCGCTCGCTCGCTCAGCTCTGTGTGTGCGTGTGTGTATTTTTTGTCACTCTCACTGATATCTTCTCGTCTCTCTCACTTTGCTGGAACACCTCAGGAGCATCATGGGGTAATATTATCCGTCTTCTGTTCGCAAAGAGAAAACTCTCCTCTTGTTTGTGCGGCTGTGTGTGTGTGTGTGTGTGTGTGCACGTGCTCTCGTTTGGTCTCTCACTTTCTCTGTCCCTCTCTCCCTCCCTCTCTGCTCTGTCTTGCTCTGCGTTTATCTCTCTCGCTTTCCATCTCGCTCCGAGACACTGCTCCGCATGAAGGCGCTGTATAAATGCAAGTTGTTGTTATTGTTAATGCTTCTCTCTCTCTCTGTGTCTGTATCTGTCTCTCTGTGTGTCTCTCTCATTGCTCTCTCTGTCTCTGTATCTCTCTCTGTCTCTGTATCTCTCTCTGTTTCTATGTCTCTCTCTGTCTCTATGTCTCTCTCTGTCTCTGTGTCTCTCTCTGTCTCTATGTCTCTCTCTGTCTCTATGTCTCTCTCTGTCTCTGTGTCTCTCTCTGTCTCTGTATCTCTCTCTGTCTCTGTGTCTCTCTCTGTCTCTGTATCTCTCTCTGTCTCTATGTCTCTCTCTGTCTCTGTGTCTCTCTCTGTCTCTGTGTCTCTCTCTGTCTCTGTATCTCTCTCTCTTGGTTGTGTATACACTGTATTCCGTGTCTGTATGTTGGGGAGATAGTGAACACTGTGCTGTAGGACGGGGGGGGGGGAGGGGATGTGGTGGGGGCCACAGTCAACTTGTTCTGTGGTCACGGAGAGGGGAACGGAGAATTCTAACGTAACTCATACGGTTTCTTAAGGTTTAGATACATTCAGAGTCAACGCTCTCTGGTGTCGGTCTGTGGCTCAGTCTCTCCCAATTTTGCCTCCGAGTCAAGAGGTTGTGGGTTGAAACCCCCCAAATTCCCCCCCCCCCCACCCCCCACCCCAAACACATCAGAGCTCACAGGCTCGGCTGAGTTTCTCTCCGGTATCCCGGCTGACAATTCCCCCCCCCCCACCCCCAGCAAAAAAAAATGGTTTCCTCGCTGTGCAGCCTGTAATTTGAGCCACTTCACCTGACGGCAATTGGTGGTGATGTTTCGTGGGGCTCGGGGTTGGGGTCTGATGTGTATCTGGACGGGCTGCGGTGCTGGTGGTTTGTTTGCGAGGCCTGAGAGGGCGGGGGAGACGGGTTCAATAACAGCTGGCACACTTTCGAGAATCGGAACGGGAATCGGGAGAGGAAAAAACTTGCAAGGATGCGGGGGGGGGGTGGGGGGGGGAAAGCGGGACTAATTGGGTGGCTGTTCCAAAGAGCAGCCACAGGCACGATGGGCCGAATGGCCTCCTTCTGTGCCGTCATATTCCGTGATTCTGCGATTCGATATCTCGCTGGTTCTCTTCTGGGAAGTTGAATCTTTTCTCGTGGAGTTTTTTTCTTCTTGGGGGTCAGGAGTCAGGGGGTTGGGAAGGGGGGAGAGGGCGGGAAGTGGGGGGGAGAGAGGGCGAGGGGGGGGGGGAAGGGAAATTTTCTCTCATTTTGTTGTGTTGGAAAGAAAATTCTTCCGGTTGACACTTTTTCAGGTGGAGGGGGTGGGAATATGGAACTTTGGACATTTTTGATCACAGAGAGAGAGAGAGAGAGAGATTGTAGAGAGAAGGATGGACGGATATATGGATGGATGGTTGACTTGAATTCTTTTTTTACGGTCGGCCGAGTGTCTGACACGCGCCGAAACCCATCACCGTTGCTTAAAAAGACTCTCCAAACCCGCGCTGAGAATTCCAGGTCTCCCACTTACACGTGGAAATCCCAGAGGTAGATTGTTGGGATGGAATGCGCTCTCTCTCTCTCTCTCTCTCTCTCTCTTTCTCTCTCTCCTCCTGGAGGGAGAGGCATCCTGCTTACCTAATTCTGGAGGGTATTAGGCGCAGGTTGGTGAGAGCCAAGGCTTGGGGCCGGGGGTTTGGGGGGAGGGGTGGGGGAGCCCAGAGGGTGTGTCACTGCTGGAGTGTGGATGGAAACTTGGATGGATGGGTGTGGGTGAGTGTGTGGATGGATGGCCACCTGGTGAGAGCCTGTGGGAGCTGCTTGGGGTCTGGGCTGGTTTTCATATCTTATCCCTTTTGGTTTCCCGCCCAGCGGCAGCAAAGGGAAGGACCTGAACACCATCAAGTCTCTCCGAGTTCTCCGCGTCCTCCGGCCTCTGAAAACCATCAAGCGATTGCCCAAACTCAAGGTAACGACGGTCCCTTCAAAAGATAATAATGAGAATAATAAGTCACAACAATAAATGCGGTCACTTCAACCCACGACTGTTTTATGGAGGCGTCGCCGGGCGCAAACGGCTGCCGTGTTCCGCCCACAAGACACACAGTCACTACGCTTTACAGTGTGTCCTGTAAAGGGGCTGTCTCAAATGCAAGGATTATTATCATTATATCCCAATAGTTGGTGTTTGCCTTTGACTGAGTAAAAGTGAAACTGAAGTGATTTCTCCTCCCCTCCCCCACTGTCCTTCATCCTCCCCCCCCCCCCTCCCCCCACCACCACCACACAGGCCGTCTTTGACTGTGTAGTCAACTCCCTGAAGAACGTCCTCAACATCCTCATCGTTTACATGCTCTTCATGTTCATCTTCGCTGTTGTGGCCGTGCAGCTCTTCAAAGGAAGGTTCTTCTACTGCACTGACGAGTCCAAGGAGTTTGAGAGGGATTGCAGGTACTTTTCCCCCAATCTCCACCCACCCCCACCCCCACACCCCCCCCTACCCCAATCTCTGCCGTCAGACCCTCCCCACCACTTAAAATCCCCCCCACCCCATTCCCTGTATGGAGTCCTGTAACTCTCCTCACAAGCGAGAGATCCCGGGTTCCTGACAGAAATCTACCTCATTCGCTGGTGAAATAACCGACCTCTCTCTCTTTCTCTCTCTCTCTCTCTCAGGGGACAATACCTGGTGTACGTGAAGGAGAACGAGATCAAAGCCCAGAAACGCGAGTGGAAACGATACGAGTTTCACTACGATAACGTCCTCTGGGCATTACTGACCCTCTTCACTGTCTCCACCGGCGAGGGCTGGCCAGAGTACGTAGTGCCCGGCCGCGATTGATGACAGGATTGCCTGCCCCCACCCCCCCCTCCACCCCACCCCGAACCCTAACCCCCCCCAAACTCCCAAGACCCCAACCCCAAACCCAACCTCCAAACCCAACGCCCCAACCCCAATCCTAACCCCCCCAAACTCCCAAACCCGCCAACCCCAAATTCCCCCCCAACTCCAAGCTATCCCAAACCCAACCTTCCCAGCGCCCCCCCACCCCCCATCCCCCCTGTGTCCCCTCCAGTTCTCGACGGCTCTGATGGCATTAAGAAGGCTCAGGCGTCCCCAGACGCTGCCGGGCGCGAACGGCGATATATCAATGCAAGTTGTTGTTGTTGTTGCCCATTTTGATCAGTTGGCTGCCAATTCCCAGGAACCAGGTTGAGAGTGAGAGTCAGAGAGAGCAAGTCAGTATGTGTGAGAGAGTGAGTGAGAAAGGGAGTCAGAGAGAGAGCAAGTCAGTATGAAAGAGAGTGAGTGAGAGAGGAGAGAGAGAGAGAGAGAGAGGACAACCCTTGGGTTTGGCCTTCGGGTTGGAGTCTGGCAGTGATTTTCCAGACTGAGGTGGACAGATGTTTGTAAGGTTGGGGTAATCAAGGGATACTAGTCAAGTGGGGGGTGGCGGGGGGGGTAACTGGAGTTGAGGTACAGCTCGACCACGAATAGAATGGCGGAACAGGCTCGAGGGGCTGAATGGCCTCCTCCTGTTCCCATGTGTCTGTGTGTCTCTGACTCCCCTCTCCCCGCAGTGTGCTGAAACACTCCGTTGACGCCACGTATGAGAACCAGGGTCCGAGCCCCGGGTACAGGATGGAGATGTCCATCTTCTACGTGGTCTACTTTGTGGTCTTCCCTTTTTTCTTCGTCAATATCTTTGTGGCCTTGATCATCATCACCTTCCAGGAACAAGGGGACAAGGTGATGGAGGATTACAGCCTGGAGAAAAATGAGGTGAGAGGCCAGGACATGTGATTAGAGTCAGAGCCCTCGCCTCGCCAGCGAGAGGAACAGGGTTCCATTCCCGGCCGGGTGGGTCAGGTCAGGGCGAAACACACACACAAGCACACACAGTCACACGCACACACACACACACACACACACACACACGCGAGATGGAGCTCGAGGGAGTTGAGGGACAGGGAACGAGGGGAAGGATCCTCACGCAGGGTAATGTCTCGGGGGGTGTTACAAGGACGGACCGAAACTATCCAGCGACTTTGGGAACGTCCTCCTGACGTGAAAGGCGCTGCGTAAATATAATTTGTTGTGGTGGTGGTGGGTGTGTTCTCTTGGCTTCCCTTCTCTCGTCTTCTCTTGCAGAGAGCCTGCATAGACTTTGCGATCAGTGCCAAGCCCCTGACCCGCCACATGCCCCAGAACAAGCAAACCTTCCAGTACAAGATGTGGCAGTTTGTGGTCTCTCCCCCCTTCGAGTACACCATCATGGCCATGATAGCTCTCAACACTGTGGTCCTCATGATGAAGGTAGAGTGGTTTGTCCGCCCATTCCCAGCTCTGAGCTTCTCCTATGTTCCTAAGACAACCCCCCCACCCCCCCACCTCCAACTCACCCACCCGAACCTCCCCCCAGTTGGAGGTGGGTGGTTGTCTTAGGAACAGGAGGAGGCCATTCAGCCCCTCGAGCCTGTTTCACCCATTATGTCCGCTTTTACGCCCACACAATAAATATGCAGCCAGTTCCCTTGACAGTGCGTCCCGTGAAGCGCTTTGAGACGTCTCGAAGACGTGATGGATCAAAATGCAAGCATTTTTATGATTATTATTATTGTTATGAACTCTATGAAACCTGTCCTCGTCGTTTAACCCCTGAAGCCCTGGTGAATCTTGTTGCTTGTTGGCAGTTTTCAGATCAGCCGGAGTCGTATGACAATGTCCTAAAGTACCTCAACATTGTCTTCACCATCCTCTTCTCCTTCGAATGTATTCTGAAGATCATCGCCTTCGGAGCTCTGGTGAGTGTGTACACAGGAGGGAGGGGGAGTGGGGTGAGAGTGGGGGGGTGGGGGGAGAGAAGGAGGGCAAGAGGTTGGACAGCCAAGAGTGGAGGAGGGCAGGGAGGGTGGAGGAGGGAGGATGACTCAAGGAGTGGTCGAAGAGGCAGATCTTGAGACGGGCCTTGAAGGAGGCCTGGGAGGGGGCGAGGCAGAGAGGCTCCGGGTTAGAGTTACAGAGGTGGGGGGCTGGGAGGCTGAAGGGCTGACCGCCTGATGGTGGGCAAGGCGGGGGACGTGAAGCAGGCCTGAGCCTTCGCTGAGCGGAGGGAGCGGACAGGTCGGTAGGGGGTTAGGAGGTCACAGAGGTAGGGAGGGAGGAGCGAGGCCGCGGAGGGCTTTGAAAGGTGAGGACAAGTATTTTAAACTGAATCCTCTGGGGGACGGGGAGCCAGTGAAGCCGGGAGAGGGCGCGGGCGATTCTTATTCTCGTCTAAGAATAAAATCTATTTCTATTATCATTCCCCCGCCCCCAGAATTATTTTCAAGATGCCTGGAATGTATTTGACTTTGTCACGGTGCTGGGTAGCGTCACTGATATCCTAGTGACCGAGTTTTGGGTAAGTTTAGCTCTCGCTTAGCCAAAGTCGCTCTACTCTTAGCTGCGATCTCGTAAACCCTCTGTCCAAACCGTCACTCAGGGTTAGAGACACAGTAAAGCTCCTCTACATTGTGTGTCCACACTCCCAGGTCAGGGTTACAGACACAGTAAAGCTCCTCTACACTGTGTGTCCACACCCCCAGGTCAGGGTTACAGACACAGTAAAGCTCCTCTACACTGTGTGTCCACACCCCCAGGTCAGGGTTACAGACACAGTAACGCTCCTCTACACTGTGTGTCCACACTCCCAGGTCAGGGTTAGAGACACAGTAAAGCTCCTCTACACTGTGCGTCCACACTCCCAGGTCAGGGTTAGAGACACAGTAAAGCTCCTCTACACTGTGTGTCCACACTCCCAGGTCAGGGTTACAGACACAGTAAAGCTCCTCTACACTGTGCGTCCACACTCCCAGGTCACGGTTAGAGACAGAGTCAAGTGACAGACCTGTGTTGATCTAAACACAGTTTGCATTGATTGTTACCCAGTGTGACTTTAGACGATTATTTCAATTGAATAATTCTAAAAGCCTGACCGGAGAATGTTTTACTACATACATAGAATGTGCTTAAACATGTGGGCAAATAGTCAGTGGGAATTATCTGAGACACACGCCCTGCTCCCCTGTGGCTGTGAGCCCCACTGAGACACTTCACCAAACACATGTGGTTCCACAAAGCTCCACTGTAGGAAACGCTTCTCATATTAGAACACAATGAGGAGCGATGTGAATGCAATTGATGATTAGTCCATCGAGTCCTGCGGTTGGACCCCTCGCCTCGCAAGCGAGAGCAGCCGGATCCGATTCCCAGACGGGTCAGGTCGGGGCAAAAGCTTAGGCAAGTTTCCTTACTCCACACAGTCACACACTCACACACACACAGTCACACACAGTCACACACACACACACACACACACACAGTCACACACACACGCCTCTGTTTACCAGCAGTCAGTAGGAACCCGTTGTTAGTCGATTGGCGGATCGCTTTTCCGGGGGTAATAATCCCCTTTAAAGAAAAAAAAAAAAAATTCACTCAATCCATGACTGTTTGTGGGGACGTCGCTGGGCGCGATTGGCTGCTGAGTTTCGCCCACAAAATGACCCACTTTACAGTGTGTCCTTTGAGGCACCTCAACACCGTGATGAGGATCTGCATCAAATGCAAGGATTATTATTATTATTATTATATCGTTTGGGAAACACCTTGCACTCGCACAGCGCCATTGGCGAGGGAGGGGTGGTGGAGTTTGGGGGTAACGTCTCGGAGCTACAGCCGCGGGGGAAAAAAAAGAGTCCCAGGAGTGGAACCACCGTCTAACGACTTGTGTATTTCTCGTCTTGTCTCTTCACATGTTGTCTTTAATGTGCGCTCGGGCGCTGGCTCTGCTCCTGCAATAACATCCAACCAAAATGCACTTTGAAATTCATGTGTTTATCCATGTTTCCGTCTGTGTCTCCATGCCAACTTATTTTATATCCGATCCCCACCGTAATCCAATTACAATCACCCATCAACAACACATAGACCACGGTTGGTTTGCCTTTTTTGAGCCCTAATGCATTACAAGCCTATCGCATGCCACCCCCCACCCCCCCCAATCCCAAACCCCTTTCCCCCCAAATGACTGCCTTGTGAATTGCTTGTGGTTACTTCTGCACCTGTCTCCTGTCGGCATGGCATTTTAGGGGGGTGGGGTGGTCTGTTTGTTGTCCTCTCTCCCCCTCCCTCCCTCCCTCCCTCCGTCCCTCCCTCTCTCCCTCCCTCCCTCGCTTTCCTTCTCCAGATCTTCTCCCTCCCTCCCCTCCCCCGTGTTATGGAGTCCCTGTAGCTCAGCGGTTCGACGCCTCGCAAGTGAGAGGACCCGGGTTTGATTCCTGGTCACAACAACAACTTGCATTTACACAGCGCCCTTCAGGTGGGGTGGTGTCCCAGAGCGCTTGACAGTGGCGGAGCCTGACACCGAGCCGGGGGGAGAGTAGGGGGGGAACCATAAGCACGATTGAAACGGAAGGTCTTGAGGTGGGATTTGAAAGTGGGGAATGGGGGGTGGGGGGGACAAGGCGGAGGGATGGAGGGAGAGAGCGACAGAGTTGCCGGGGCAGAGTGGCTGAAAGCATGGCCACCGATGGTGGAGCGGAGGGGGTGAGGGACTGACAGGAGGCAGTGGGTGGTTGAGTGGGTGGGGGTGGGGGTAAGCAGGTCAGAGAGGTAGGGAGGGAGGTACACAGTGTAGGTCAGGGAGGTCCGAACGTCAGGCCATGTTTCTGGAAGGGAAACACAAACATATTGCTTACACGGCTCGCAAACATTGCACAAACAGGGCACCTGGCCCTCAGCAGCCAAAAGGCTGTACCTCCCCCCTCCCCACCCCCTCCCCCCCCCACTCCCCGCGGGGTAGGACGATGGGTCTTCAGGGAAACAGGAACCAGAGGTCACTTTGCTTTGCTTCAGAGACCGAGTTTGGGTCCCTCTTTGTCTTGTACCCGCCTCAGCCCTGCATCAAACGCTTCTCCTGCATGTTCCTGACTGTGCCACAGCATCAGCTCCCCACACACTCGTTAGTTACCCCCCACCCATCGTGTCCCCCCCCCCAAGTCAAGCCGTTTCCCCTTGTGCATGTCTTCACTCGAGCCTGAACATGTAAGGTTCCCCCGGGGTTGTGGTTGAGACTGGCTCGGCCCGGGAAACCTTTACATGCGTGAATGGACTCCACATTTGTGGTCTTGTTCGTGTCAAAGAAAAACAGTGCATTTTGTTGTGTTAAATAAATATATTTCCAAATAAATCTATATATATATATATATATTATATATATATATTGCTTATTATTTAACAAAAAAGAAACAGGAAGCCATCTTTCCCCAATTGGATGAATGAATAGTCAATCAGATTAATTGACTTCGGAAGGGGAGAGGGGGAGGAGGGGAGAAGGGGGGGCATTCTCTCTCATGTGTTTTGGACGCCCAGTGAGTCTATGTGATGTATAACCTCCCTCTCCCCCTTACCCCCCACCCCATTGCTTTTCTTTCAGAAAAACATCATTAACTTGAGTTTCCTGCGTCTCTTCCGAGCCGCTCGCCTCATTAAGCTCCTCCGTCAGGGCTACACCATCCGCATCCTCCTGTGGACGTTCGTCCAGTCTTTCAAGGTATGTTTTCTTTGGAGTCCCCGTAGCTCAGGTGAGAGCCCTCACCTCACAGGCGAGAGGACCCGGGTTCCATTCCTGGGCGGGTCAGGTCAGGGCGAAACCTTAGACAAGTTTCCTTACTCCCGACACAGACCCACACACACACACACACACACACAAACAGACCCACACACACACACAGACCCCCCACACACACAACACACACACAGACCCACACACACACAGACCCACACACACAGTACCACACACACAGACCCACACACACACACAGACCCACACACAGACCCACACACACACACACACAGACCCACACACAGACCCACAAACACACACACATCCAGACCCACACACACAGACCCACACACACAGACCCACACACACGCCTCTGTTTATCAGCAGTCAATAGGAACCCGGTTGTGAGTCGATTCGCGGATCGCTTTTCCGGGGGTAATAATAATAATCTCAAAAACAAAATAATAATAATAATTTGGTCCCTCAATCCACGGCTGTTTGTGGGGACGCTGCTGTGTGCACTTGGCTGTCGGGTTTCGCCCGCAAAGTACACAGTCACTACACTTTACAGTGTATTCTGTGAAACGTTTTGAGGCGTCTCAGCGACGTGAGGTCAGGGGTTAGCGTTTTTGAGGTTGTTTCTGTGCCTTTTTGCTGTAACTGCCCCAACACAGAGCGAATTCAAACACCAGTGTAACCGGTGAAGGATAGTCTCACAGACAAAACGTTTGCAGGATCTGGATGAAACAAGGTGATTTTTATCCCCTCTCTCTATTCAACCCTCTTCCCCCCCCCCCCACCTCCCCTCCTCTTGCTTCTCCCCCCAGGCTCTCCCCTACGTGTGTCTCCTCATCGCGATGCTGTTCTTCATCTACGCCATCATAGGCATGCAGGTGAGGAAACCTCCCTGGTTCATGCACACTCGTGCACACACGCACAACTGTTACACAGCTTCCCTCACTCCGGGGCTGCCTCTCGGAGCGCTTAACAGTGAGGCCGAACCGCGGGGGGGGGGGGGGGGGAGGAGGCGGAGGGATTGGGGGGAAGAGAGTTACAAAGCTTCGGGGGAGCAGTGGCCGAAAGCGACTGCAATGGGGGAGAAAGCAGATCGTTTGAGAGGTCTCAGGGACGTGATAAGGCGCTGTGACAAATGCAAGGATTATTACTGTTGTTGTTATTGGCCGATCGGGGGGGGAATCGCTTTTCCGGGGGGAATAATCCCTTCGACATAAAATAACAGTAATAATGTGGTCACTCAATCCACCACTGTTTGTGGGGACGTCGCTGGGCGCAGTCGGCTGCCGCGGTTCTACCACTAAAACACACAGTCACTGCACTTTACGGTGTGTCCTGGGAAGCGCTTTGAGACGCCTCGGAGACGTGATGAGGCGCCGGGTCAAACGCGAGGCTTATTATGTCGAGTCTCTGCTCCCACAGGTCTTTGGGAACATTGCGGTGGATGACGAGGAGGAGAGCGACATCAACCATCACAACAATTTCCGCACTTTCTTGCAGGCTTTGATGCTGCTCTTCCGGTGAGTGACGTGTCTCCGTCCTTCACCTTCCCGTCCCCATCCTTTCCCGGTCAGTCAAGCCGCTTTCCTCGTGCTGGGGGAGAGGATTTGGAGCTCTGTAGCTCAGTGGTTAACGCACTCGCCTCGCTGGGCGTAGTTGGCTGCCGCGTTTCTCCCACAGAATGCACAGTCACTACACTTTACAGTGTGTCTGTCCTGTGAAGCGCTTTGAGACGTCTAGAAGACATGATGAGGCGTCGGGTCAAACACCAGGATTATTATTATTATTATTATTATTATTAGTGGCTGAGGTTTGAGCGGCTGTTGTTTTGCCGATCGGTCATGATTTGGTTGAGGGAGTGTGTGGCGACTGTGGGATGTGTGGGGTGAGGGTCGACTGTCTGGGTGTCGATGGGGCAGCTGGTGTGGGCGACTGAGGGCAACCCACCAAGTAACCACAAAGTCTTTTCTCTCTCTCTCTGTGTCTCTCCTGTTGTGTGTCTGCCCCAGGAGTGCCACAGGAGAAGCCTGGCACAACATCATGCTGGCGTGTCTGGCCGGCAAAAAGTGTGACCCGCGCTCTGGCATCCCGGGCTACGAATGTGGCAACGAGTTTGCCTATTTCTACTTTGTTTCCTTCATTTTCCTCTGCTCCTTTCTGGTAAGTTTTTACTTCCTGCCCTGCCTGACCACTCATCCATTTTCCAAAATGGCCTCCCCTACTTCCCCTCCAAATGGCCTCCCGTATTTCCCCTCCAAATGGCCTTCCCTACTTCCTCCGAAATGGCTTCTCTTCCTGAGGTCTGGCTTCTCTTCTCTCATTCTTTCAATATGGCTGTCCCTACTTCCTCCCAAGCAGTGTATCTGGGAAGTGTGGAAGCGATCGTGCAGTGAAAAGAGAGGGAGGCCATATTGGAAAACAGTTTCCGCCCTTTCAACAACGAGACCCCGGGGGGCACTGGATGGGACAATGTCGCTCAGTGGTTAGAGCCCTCGCCTCGCAAGCGAGAGACCTGGGTTCGATTCCCGGGCAGGATGTAACGTCGGGCAAGTTTCCTCACTCTACACACGCGCCTCTGGTTACCAGCGGTCAGTAGGAACCCGGTTATAACCCGGTTATGGGCCGATCGCTTTCCCGGGGGGTAATAATCCCTTCAAAAAATAATAATAATAATGTGGTCACTCAACCCACGGCTGTTTGTGGGGACGTCGCTGGGCGCAACTTGGCTGCCACGTTTCGCCCACAAAACGCACAGTCACTACACTTCACAGTGTATCCTGTGAAGCGCTTTGAGACACCTCGAAGATATGATAAGGCGCCGGATCAAATATATCAGATGCCAGGATTATTATTATTATATAACGTAGAGAGAGAGACATTCTGACGTTGTATTTCAATTTTCCCCCACTTCCCCTCTCTCTCTCTCCCCTCTCTCTCTCTCTCTCCCCCTCTCCTCTCTCTCTCCTTCTCCCCCCCCCTCTCTCTCCCTCTCCCCTCTCTCTCTCTCCCTCTCCCCTCTCTCTCTCTCCCCTCTCTCTCTCCCCCTCCTCTCCTCTCTCCTTCTCCCCCCCCCCCTCTCTCTCCCTCTCCCCTCTCTCTCTCTCCCTCTCCCCTCTCTTCTCTCCCCTCTCCCCTCTCTCTCTCCCTCTCTCCCCCTCTCCTCTCTCTCTCCTTCTCCCCCCCTCTCTCTCTCCCTCTCTGCCCCCTCTCTCTCTCCCTCTCCCCCCCCCCCTCTCTCCCCCTCTCTCCCCCTCTCCTCTCTCTCTCCTTCTCCCCCCCCTCTCTCTCTCCCTCTCTGCCCCCTCTCCTCTCTCTCTCCTTCTCCCCCCCCCTCTCTCTCTCCTCTCTGCCCCCTCTCTCCCCCTCTCCTCTCTCTCTCTCCTTCTCCCCCCCTCTCTCTCTCCTCTCTGCCCCCTCTCTCTCTCCTTCTCCCCCCCCCCCCCCTCTCTCTCTCTCTCTGCCTGTCAGATGCTGAATCTCTTTGTGGCCGTCATCATGGATAACTTTGAGTATCTGACCCGTGACTCCTCTATATTGGGGCCACATCACCTGGACGAGTATGTCAGGGTGTGGGCAGAGTACGATCCGGCCGCCTGGTAAGCCTCGCCCTAAAACAGCCCCCCCCACCCCCCACCCCCCCCACCCCCCCACCCCCACACCCCCACTTCGCGTTATCAATCCTGGGCTACAAGCAACGGCAAAGCTGCCTGAGACCATCCCCGAGCTCCACCATAGAGTGTCCGCACACCCTCTGTATCCAAGTCTGTTTCAGGGTTTTTCAGACTCTCCCCCCCCCCCGCCCCGCCCCGCCCCGCCCCGCCCCGCCCCGCCCGGCCCCGCCCCCCCCCCCCCCGCCCCCCCCCCCCCCACCTGGCCCGCCCCGCCTACAAATAAACCCGGGGGTGGGGCGAGGGTTGTGGAGGGCGGAGGGAGGGGAAACTGCATTGCCATCAGCAACTCCCCAATTCCAACTTGACCTCAGTGAAATAGACCAAGGGATTAAGATGTCTGTGATACACTTGTTCCATGAAAGATTCCCCCCCCCACCTCCGACCCCAAACTAAAGCCCCTCCCGATTGGGTTAACAACACCCCCCCACTCCCTCCCCCATCGATCGACACCAATTGTACCCATGTGTTTAAGCTCTTTGGACCCTACTTTTCAGGCATTAGTTGAGGACACCTCTCTCTCTCTCGTTCACAGTCGGTTCTGTTCACAATGAGTCCTTGTTGAGAGTGGGGGTGAGGGGTGGTGAGGGGGGGTGAGGGGGGTAGGGGGGGTGAGGGGGGGTAGGGGGGGTGAGGGGTGGTGAAGGGGTGGTGAGGGGGGGTGAGGGGTGGTGAGGGGGGGTGAGGTGGGGGTGAGGGGGTGAGGGGGGGTGAGGGGGGGTGAGGGGGGTGAGGTGGGGGTGAGGGGGGGTGAGGTGGGGGTGAGGTGGGGGTGAGGGGGGGGTGAGGGATCGTCCCCATAGAACGAGAAGTCACTGAATGTCAGTTTTCCGACCTTTGACATCCAGAGACCTTTAGGGATGGCGTGAATGGGGAAGGGGGGAAGAGAGAGAGAGAGAGAGGGGGGGGGGGAGAGGGAAGAGGGTCTGTGTGTGTTTCATGTCCTTCATTTCTGCTTTTTTCAAGGGGAGGGGGTGGGTGGGGGTACAGAAGGGAGGAAGGGAAGGAGGGAGTTGGGGAATGGAGGGAAGGAGGGAGTTGGGGAATGGGGGGAGGGAGGGAGTTGGGGAATGGGGGGGAGGGAGGGAGTTGGGGAGGGAGGGAGGGAGGGAGTTGGGGAGGGAGGGAGGAAGGGAGTTGGGGAATGGGGAGGAGGGAGGGAGTTGGGGAGGGGGGAGGGAGGGAGGGAGGGAGGGAATGCCTTTGAACGAGTTAATGCAATGCTCCCCCGGGACCCTCTCTCTCTTCACTAACCTGATTGTAATTCTCTTTCCAGCGGTCGAATACATTATAAGGATATGTACAGTTTGTTGCGCGTTATCTCGCCCCCCCTGGGCTTAGGGAAGAAATGTCCTCATAGGGTGGCCTGCAAGGTTTGACTTCACTACCTTCCAACCAGCATTTTACTTCAGGAATGAGTGTTGCTTCCCTTTGCCCCCTTCTTCCCCCCCTCTCCCCCTTCTTCCCGCCCCCCCTCCTCTCCCCCCACCCCTTTATCCCCTTTCCCCCATTTGCCGCCCCTCTTCCCCGAATACCTCCTCTCCCGTTACCTCCCACCCTTCCTTTCCTCCCTCACCCCTCACCCCAAACCCCACCTTAACTCCTACCCCTCCTCCCCCCCCCCACCCCCCCCCCCCAGCCCCCCGCTAACCCCCTCCCTCGTTGCATTTCCTGAACTCGAATGTGCAGGGGAAAAAAATTGCGATGTGAAAACTGGAGAGAGAGCGAGCGAGCGAGCGAGCATGCATTCGGACACATCTCTCCATTATTTATCGCTTGTTGCAAGCTACTTGCACCCCCCCCCCTCCCCACACCCCACCTCCCCCCCCACCCCCCCCCACCCCACACACACATGCATCTTGGGTGTGTTCTAGTAACTTGTGTTTGACTTCTTTCTTTTGCACGGGAAGCGGAGAGAGAGAGAGAGAGAGAGAAAGAAAAAAGCAAAACAGAAAGAGACTGCATTGACAACCACAAACCGTTACCTGTCCCCCACACCCCACCCCCCATCCCCCCCCATCCCCCCCCTCCCCTCAAAAAAAAACGCACAGAACCTTTTTTTTGTGACGCGGGGCCGGAGCGGGAGGTGAAGGGGGTGGGTGGGGTGGTGGCGGGTGGGTGGGGGGGGGTTGGGGGGGTTTGCGGTGGGGTGGGGGGAACGCAATACGAATGGGGCCGGAGGGAGGGAGGGAGGGAGGGAGGGAGCGAGAGAGAGAGAAAAAAAAAGGTTTTTGCCCTTTCTATGCAAATGTTGCATAGAAAATGGGGTGAATTTTATAAGTTGGCTTCAACTTCGAAACCAACCCAAATAAGTAACTTGTTTTTTTTTGTTGTTTTGTTTGTTTGTTGCCATTTTTACCTTTTATTTCGTTCCCCCCCCCCCCCCCACTCCTCCTCCGCCACCACCTCCCCCTCCTCACACTCCCCCTCTTCCCCCCCCACCCCCCACCCTCCACCCCCCACACACTTCCTTCAAAACTTATTATTTCCCTTTCTCTCTCTCTCTTTACCGTTTAATTACCCCCCAACCAACCAAACACCCCCCCACCCACCCACCCGCATGATTGATTTTCTCACCTTTCTCATTTCCTTCCCCAACCCCCACCCCATCCCACCCCACCCCACCCGACCCCCCCCACCACCCCCTCACCCCCCTTTTCTCTGCCTCGTTTGGTTTTTATTTCCACGCCACGCGAAAAAAAAAACCCCGACACCCCCAAAAACAAAAAACCTAGTGGACGGATCAGTTACACAGATATGTATGAGATGTTAAGGCACATGTCACCTCCCTTAGGCCTTGGGAAGAAGTGTCCGTCGAGAGTGGCTTACAAGGTAGAACTCGTGTCCTTTAGTGTTAATTGTGTCAGAGACAAATTCTGTTGCCCTCGGTACTGTCAGGGTCAAGTGTCGTGCAGTCCAGAAGAAGTCGGAGGAGTCTTTAACAGCCCCTCTCCCCCCCCACCAGGTCCACCTAATCCAATTCCACCCCCACCCCAACCCCCCAATCCAATTGCCTTTCATCGTCTCAGCCCCCACTCAAGATCTCAGATGCGTTCCGTTGAGTTGGAAATCAAAGCATCATCTCCAACCGAATCATCTCCCTCCCCCCACACACACGCACGCACCCACACATGCACCCACCCACACATGCACCCACACGTGCACACACACATGCACCCACACGTGCACACATGCACGTGCACACACGCACACAGGAGCTAAAAATCGGTTCCGCCCCATCCCTCTCCGACACCACCACCATCCCCCCCTTACGCTCCCCTCCCCCTTCTCTCTCTCTCACCCCCCCACCCCACAGCCCACCCCACTCTAATGTGGTATTCAAGGCAGATGGGTTCCTCGTGTCTTACAAGCCTCGAGTTTGACCACTCTGTAAGGAGGCCATTTGGCCTCTCGAGCCTGTCCCAGCTCTCTGGATGAGGATGGGTGTTGGGGTAGTGTGTGTGTGTGTGTGTGTCTCTGAGGAGGAGGAGAGGGAAAGAAACAAGATCCTCAACTCACACATTCACCGGGACCAAATTCACAACCCCCCACCCCTTCCCCCCACTGCCCCCTCCCCCTCCCCCCTCCTCCCCCCCCCCCCAAAAAAAAATGAGGCAAAACGTGAATTTTTTTTCAGAAACAAAATCTATATATTGTTTCACGAAAACACACCCTCCCCTTCCTGTGGATTGCATGACCTGGTGTTGCGTGTGTGGCAGGGGTCAGTGGCGAATCTTCGATGCAGTTTAATTCAGGCAGAACGTTTAAGTCAAGTCTTATTGTGTTTTTTTTTGGCCCCTCGGAGCAGAAACTCCCCTCTAATCCTGTAGTCTTTTACTAACTTTTCCGCCTCTCTTGTTTTTTTTTTGTTGTTGCTTTCTGTCAATGCAGTTCTTAAACCTAACACAAAGGTCCCTCTTCCTCTTCCATACGTCCCTCTCCATAACTACACTTCTCCTCTCTACATTCCCCACCTCCCCCCCCCCCCCTCCCCCCTCTCTCGCTCTCTCTCTCTCCATCTCTCCTGCATCTATACTCTGCTCACACATGTCAAATGGGGTTATCAGACACTTGACGCTTGAGCTTTGATCCCAATTAATAATAATAACAATAATCCTGGTATTTAACCCGGCGCCTGATCACGTCGTTGAGACGTCTCAAAGCGTTTCACAGGATATACTGTAAAGTGAATTGACTGTATATTTTGTGGGCGAAATGCGGCGGCCGATTGCACACAGCGGTGTCCCCACAAACAGCCGTGGAGTGAGCGACCAAATTCATTATTGTTATTTTTCTTTTCGGAGGGTTTATCACCCCCCGTCCTCTCGCTTGCGAGGTGAGGGCTCAAACCCCTGAGCTACAGGACCCCAAATTCCCCCCCACACCCCACACACACAATGATGGCGGCCTGCATAACAAAAAGAATTATTATTGAGAATCTCTCTATTTTATCGCCTGTTTTCCGCTGTGAGTGTGGGCATCACTGACTAGTTATTCACAATGGGAAAGTGGGAAGGTTTCTGGTCACGTGTTGACATGTGTGAATCCCAACATTCCTCACTCAGCCAGAACTATTCACCTGAAAAGCCACACATATCACTCTTACTCTTCGTAACCACCTTCCTCTCTCCATCGCTCCTCCTCTTTCTCCCTCCTCTTCCTCCCTCCGTCTCTCCTCCATCTCCCCTTCCATATAAACTCCTTCCCCCAACTCAATCCTCGCTTCAGAGAACATTCTCATTCAACTCCTTCAAAGAGTTGCAAAGGGGGCGATTTCAGGACAGACACCAGGAAGTTTCTCTTTACCCATTAACAACAACAACAACTTGCATTTATACAGCGCCCCTCACTCACTCACTCACTCACCCACCCACCCACTCATGCACTCACACAGGGTAGCGCTGAGCCGGAGGGAGGGAGGGAGGGAGGAGGGAGGTGACCATGAACAAGTGGAACAGAGTTGCCAGAAACTGGGGGGGAGGGTTTATAATAATAATAATAATAATAATCCTGGGATTTGACCCAGCGCCTGATCATGTCGTCGAGACGTCTCAAAGCACTTCACAGGATACACTGTAAAGTGTAGTGACAGTGCATTTTGTGGGCGAAATGCGGCAGCCAATTGCGCCCAGGGGTTGAGGCCAGGACGATGGGACTCGTTTAAGAAGTAGTTGGATGCTGTGATGAGGGTAGGAGGGGTACGAGGGTAGGACAAGTGTCTGGAGGGGGGGGGGGTTAGATGGGACCAAAGGACCTTCTTCACCTGAACCCGATCTTGTTTATCTGGAGAATGGATGGGGAGGGGTGGAGCGTGTTCCCCTGTACAAAAAAACATGTTTACCCTGTCCCACCCCCTGTTTGACCAATAGCCCAGAAACCCCTACTCTCCCCCAGCTCTCCCATCACCACCCCCCAAATGGACTGATTCACCTCCACCCTATGGGATCAATGTTCTTATTGATTCCCTCCTCTCCTCTCTCCCCACTTCCCTTCTCTCTCTCTCTCTGTCTCTCACTTTCTCCTTCCTCTCTTTCGTTCTCTGTTCCATCTCTGTCCATCTCGCTCTCTCGCTCTCTCGTTCTGCGTCTTTCCCTCTCTCTCTCTCTCTCTCTCTCTCTCTCTCCCTCCCTCTCTCGTTCCTGATCTCTCCCATTCCACGGCAACTAACCTCAACAGCCGCTCCCTCAGCCATTCCAACCCCCTTCACTGCCTCACCTCCACTTCCACCCAACACACTAACCCTGAACCACCTCTGCTTCATACGCCATTGATGGCTGTTAGCACCCAGAGATGCTTGGCTGGAAAGCCCACAGCCCTCTGTCAGGAAGAGCTGGGAATGATATCAGTGTGTGTAGCCCTTGGAAGCTATGCGTAGAGAGAGAGAGAATTGCCTGCCCCGATGGGATCTTTCTCTGGCATGTTGCATGTCTTTGCCTGCTCTGCATTGTGTGATGTCAACTGATGAAATCCCGTGGGATTGCAAACCGTGGTCTATGTTCTGCACTGTGTGTGCGTGTTTGCGTGTTGTGGTTGCCACAGTGGAAAACATCACTTGCCTGTTTTATAGCAAAATAATAATAATAATAATAATAATTAACTCTGTGCCTGCTCCTGGTTGATCAGCGGAATGAATTGTGTTTTTTTCTATATTGTTGTGTGTAAAGAAAATAATATCAAATGCAAATCTCCCAATTTTTGTCTCCTTTCCCACTCCACACCCACCCACCCACCCACCACCCCCCCCACCCACCCACCCACCCCCCCACCCCCCCACCCTCGCCCCACCCCTAACCCCCTCCCCACTGTGCTGTTCGCGGCTTTGTGAGTTACTGGGCTAGGGGGTTTGTGCTGTGGTTCATTCTGTACAGAGGCTCCTACGGATGGATTTACCCGTTGCCGACGACAACTCGGTTCACTTTAATTCCACCCTCATGGCGCTCATCAGGACTGCGCTGGATATCAAGATTGCCAAAGGTATGGTGTTGTTTCCCCAGTCCCCCCGCCCCCCTGGCTCGGCTCCCCTCTCCTCTCTCCCCCCCCTTTCCCCCGAGGATAGAGTTCAGGGTCCTCCATGGCCTTGCCCTCTCCTCTCTCTGTGACCTGCTAACTCCGATCCCTCCGCTCAGCAGGCTCCAGTCTGCTCCACGACCCCCGGCCCAATTCAGCCACTGCTAACTCTCTCTGCCTCTCTGCCCTTCCTCCTTCTCCTTCTCTCCTCTCTCCCTCCCTCTCTCCCTCTATCTCTCTCTCTCTTTAGGAGGAGCCGACAAACATCAAATGGATAAAGAGTTGAGGAAGGAGATGATGTCAATCTGGCCTCATCTCTCCCAGAAAACCATGGACCTGCTCGTCACCCCTCACAAATGTAAGCTCATTCCTCTTGTTCCTTTATCATATCTACTGCTCCCTTCCCTTCCCTCCACACCCCTCCCATCCCATTACTATACCCTACCATCATCGCCCCTCCTTACCCCACCCCCACACCCCCGATAGCAGTGGACCCCTCTAAACAAGTCATCTCACCCCTCCTTTCACTCCCTTGACCGCCATTTTTTTTGGAAGTGAGAGTTTAATGTAATATTTAGTTGTGTGTGTGCGTGTGTGTGTGTGTGGGGGGTTCTATGTCGATCGCAAGTTGTTGGTTTAATTTTTGTTTTCGAAGCTGAATCTTCTGAAGAGTGGCGAAATTCACGCTCTCCTCACCCCCTGGAATTATTTTTTTGGAATGGAGGGTGGAATGGAGCTCACACTGTGTTTTTCTCTTTCTCTCTCTCTCTCTCTTTCTCTCACTCTCTCTTTCTCTCCTCTCTTTCTCTCTCTCTCTCTCTCTCTCGTTCCCCCCAACTTTCTCCATCCTCCAATCCCTGACTGTCCAGCGAAGGGAAGGAGGGACCCAATACACAGTCCCAATGGGTGTGGAGAGAAACTGGGTGGGTTTGATTCCTACCCAACGTGTGGGGTGGAAGAACCACAGTTAACACTTTACAATATATCCTGTGAAGCGCTTTGAGACGCCTCGAAGACGTGATAAGGCGCTACAAAACACTCTCCCTCAATCCCTCTGCCTTGACCCCTCTCTCCCCTTTTTCAAGTCCCGCCTGAAAACCTTCCTCTTCGACCGGGCTTACGGTCACCCCCTCCTTCCCCCACCCCCTGCCCCGGGCTCGGAGTCAGGCTCGGCCACCGTTAAGCGCTCTGAGACGCTATCCTGCGTGGAGGGCGCTGTATAAGTGCAAGTTGTTGTTGCTGTCGTCGTTTTACATCAAATGCAAGGATCATTATTTGTTGTGGTTATTAACACATACTCCTCCCCTGTGTCTCTACGGCACGTTCCTGTCCTGCCGACAGCAACGGACTTGACAGTGGGGAAGATTTACGCAGCCATGATGATCATGGAGTACTATCGTCAGAGCAAAGCCAAGAAACTCCAGCAGCTGAGAGAGGAGCAGGTAATGGCGGAAGGAGTGTCCACACACACACACACTGCCCTTCACCCATGTCCTCCCCTCCCTCGTCTCCTTCAAGGTCCATCTCAAGACCTTCCTCTTCGACCACCTTTGATCCCCCTCCTACTCCCCCTCCCCTCCGCTCCCCTCCCCACCCTCCATCCCCTCTTGATTCCAACCCCCAACTCGGGTTCAAATCACTGGCTGCCCAGCGCCTTGGGATGTCCTCCCGACGTGACGGGCTTTGGCTTTGAAGCTTTGTGGAGTCCTGTAGACTGTTGGTTAGAGCGCTCGCCTAATCTGATTGGAATTCCAGGCGGGGCGAAATCTTCAGCGAGTTTCCTTACGCCACACGCCTGTGTTTATCGGGCAGTGAGTAGGTCGTTAGTCGATCACTTTCCGGGGATAATAATCCTTCACAACACGATGTGGTCGGTCAGCGGGGCTGGGACGCTGCTGAGACGCTGTATCGCATGTGAGGCTTCTTGTAATTGAGGCTGTCACTGGACTACGTGTTATATCTCACGCAGAATCGGACGCCGCTGCTATTTCAACGCATGGAGCCACCCTCCCCCACCGAGGAGATGGAGCCGGGGCAGAACCCATTCCCAGACACCCAGCCTGTCACTGGCAATGGACCGTAAGTCACCGACTCCTTACCCGACAAGCCCCAGAGGGACAGAAACCCCAAATTCCACCTGGTCTCAGCCTTACCCTCACTCCCTCCCTCCTGCTTTTTCTTTGCTGGCTCGCCGGGTGTCTGACACACACGGAACCCGTCACCTTGTGCTTAAGAGTCTCCCAACCCAACTGAGAATTCCCTGCCTCCCACCTTCACCTGGAAATCCCAGAGAGAGATTGTTGGAATGGAATGCGCTCTCTCTCTCTCTCTCTCTCTCTCTCTCCCTGGAGGACGCCCCCCGCTTACCTAATTCCAGAGAGTATTAGGCGCAGGTTGGCGAGAGCCAAGGCCTGGGGTGGGGGAGCTCAGAGTGTGCGTTGGGGTAACTGCTGGAGTCTAACCAGCTGAACCCACACACAGCTCGGCCATTGAGAGAGAGAGCGCTGTCTGGCCAAGCTTTCCCGCTGCGTGTCCAGCTCGGACCCTCCCCATTAGTTAGGGACTTTGATTGTAGGGTTACCAGGAGCTGAGGGGGAGGATTCCCTGCCCCTGATGGGAGGGAGGGAGGGAGTGAGGGGGGGAGGGAGAGGGGAGACTGAGACCGGGTGGAATTCCAACGCCCCATTCTCGCTCCCGAATCCTGGTTTGTCTCTGTGTTTATTTGTAACCTCACGATTGAATGAGATTCCCGATTGAATCGTGATAAATGTGTCTCTGTTCTCTCTCTTACACACACACACACACACACTCACTCACACTCACACACACACAAACACTCACATTCACACACACTTACACACACACTCACACACTCTCACACACACAAACACTCACATTCACACACACACACTCACACACACACAAACACTCACATTCACACACACTTACACACACACTCACACACTCTCACACACACGCACACTCACATACACACTCTCACACACTCACACACACAAACACTCATATTCACACACAATAAATAAAGCCCTCAAGAGGAAGTGATGAAAGAAAGCCAGTCCTGGGTGACGGACCGGGCCCAGAAGATGTTCCAGCAAACTGGGGCTTGGAGCCCTGAAAGAGGGCGATCAGAGGACAAGCCTGACCCCCAGGCCAACTCTCAGGTAATCCCTGGGGAGCGAGCGAGTGTGTGCATCATATCACGGTGGCTTTGCACGGCTTCTTGGCATGTAAACCAGTCTTGGCACATAGCCTCGAACCTTCACAGAGAGCCTTTCCCCCAACCCCACCCCACCCCACTCTCGCTGCCCGACCCCCACTATCTTATTCGTCCCCTTTCGTCCGTTCTCCTTCAATCCCAACGGTCTTACGGCTGAGACTGAGCGGAATTCCGGATGGGAGGGGGTGGCACAGGTTCCATGTCGTTCGCTTACAGTCACAAAGCACACAGTCACTACACTCGGGCGGCAGCGCTTTGAGACATCCTCCCAACGTGACCTCAATTCCTCGCCCACACCAGAGGCTGAATGGGAGAATTGACCGGGGATTGTTGTTAAGTGGGCTTCAGGTTGAGGGAATGAAGAATTCGGGACCTGTTTCGCCCTCGGGGGCCGGACGGGCTTTGAACTCGGAGCAAGGCAGCGGGGAGCGGGGAAGTTCTAAGGAGAAGGCGGTGGGTTTTGCGGGATCATATCTCTGTTACGTGTAATGTTACATGATAGACGTGTGTCACTGTATGTTGGACACGGTGCTGTCATACATGTGTGGTGCATAACAGATGGCGGGCGACATCTTACACTGAGCTCATCCCAATCACATCCTCCTCCATTGATCATAGAGAGACAAAGCCATTGATTGACCAATTGCCCCAATTCCTACCCTCACCCCTCAATCCCACCCAACACACCATCCAAGGTTCCCCTTAAGCCATTAGGAAGAACATAAGAATTTCCTGGACGAAAGGAGACTGAGGTCCATCCAGTTCACCATCTGCCCATCCTGACAGGCACTTGCACATGTTGTGTCCCCCCAACTATACCCGTGTCTCCCCCCCAGATATTATTTCCTCACAGAAATCAATCTCATTTGTTCTCGAAAGAATCAACATTTTCTGCTTCCACCGTCTGTCTGTCTCCGGAGGGAGTCTGTTCCACACATCTGCCGTTCGCTCACTGAAATAAGTGTTTACGCAGATTTGTTCTGAATTTCATAGCATCGGAGAATGTTGCAGCCCAGAGAAGGAGGCCATTCGGCCCATCGCGCCCGTGCTGGGCCGGCTCTTTGGAAGAGCCGCCCAATCACCCCCCCGCCTCCCCCAGCTCTTTTCCCCCATTCCCCAGCAAAAAAAAATTCCTCTTCAAATCCCGATCTAATTCCCTTTTGAAAGTTAGCGTTGAATCTGTTTCCACCGGCAGCGAGTTCCAGACCATGTTTACATACGAACACAGGAACAGGAGGAGGCCATTCAGCCCCTCAAGCCCGTTCCGCCATTCTAGAAGATCATGGCTGATCTGTATCTCAAGTCCAATTACCCGCCCTCACCCCATATCCCGTGATCCCCTGACCCTAACAAACAGTATTTACCCACTGAATCAATAATCAAGGCTGGGGGTGGGGCGGCTGTGGTAAGGAAACTGGCCCAAAGGGCTTCCCTGCCTGGGAATCGAGCCCAGGTCCTCTCGCTTGCGAGCGAGTGTCCCAGAGAGCGAGGGTAGGTTAGGAGGGACACGCTAGCGAGCCAGCCCCAGTGAACATCCCCTTTAATACCCCCCCAATCTGGCTTTGTATTCACAGGCTGTGGAGTTGCAGGAGATGGGGAGGGACGGCCTGTCAGACAGCGATCAATATCTTCCAATGGAAGGTCACAGTCGCACTGTATCCATGCCAAGGCTGCCCGCCAACAACCAAGTGAGCTCATCCGATCATTTCCTGTCCGTGCTTCCTGTCTGCCCTCGATCCACCACCATCACCATCATCACCATCATCACCACCATCACCAACACCACCATCACCAACGCCACCATCACCACCAACACTATCATCACCAACACCATCATCACCACCATCACCACCATCACCACCATCACCAACACCATCACCAACACCACCATCACCACAATCACCGACACCATCACCAACACCACCATCACCACAATCACCGACACCATCACCAACACCACCATCACCACTAACACCATCATCACCACCATCACTATCATCACCACCATCACCATCATCACCACCATCACCATCATCACCACCAACACCATCATCACCACCATCACCAACACTATCATCACCAACACCATCATCACCATCCCAATCACCAACACCATCATCACCACCATCACCAACACCACCATCACCACCAACACCACCATCACCACCATCACCATCATCACCACCAACACCATCATCACCACCATCACCAACACCACCATCACCACCAACACCACCATCACCACCATCACCATCATCACCACCATCACCACCATCACCATCATCACCAACACCACCATCACCATCATCATCACCATCATCACCATCACCAACACCATCCATCACCACCAACACCATCATCATCACCAACACCATCATCACCACCAACACCATCATCATCATCACCACCAATACCATCATCCCCATCACCATCATCAGCATCAGATTTATTTTCCTTTCAAAGTACTTTTATTTGGGGGCGGGGGGGCCCCTTTCTTTAACTCTCTCTGCACCATGTTAAGCCACCAATATAGCATCTCCGTCTGCCCCCTCCTCCACCCATCCGCCACTGTAAGAAGAGATATACAAAGGAGGCCGTTTAGACAGGAGGGGGTTTGGAGGGGTTACAGTGGAAGATTTTATCAGCTTCACTCGGGCTCCATGGTGATCTCTAATGTAGCTCAGGGGTTAGAGCCCTCGCCTCGCAAGCGAGAGAGGACCCGAGTTCGATTCCGGGCCGGATCGGGTAGAAACCTTAGGCAATTGAAAGTTGAGAGATCTTGCGGAAAAAACAGCACCAAAAGAGTTAAATTATTTGTTTCCTTTTACATCTGAACGTTTTGGGTTAATTCTCGCCCCCCCCCCCCCCCACAAAAAAAACCTCACCTTCCCCTCCTCCTCTAACCCCCAACCCCCACCCCCCCCAAACAAAACCCCACCGCTTCCCAAATATGTGCAGGAATTTTGAGGGGAGAGAGTGCACGGACTCAATTTTGAAGGGGCGAGTTTTTTTTTGGGGGGGCTCCTTGTGCTAAACCCCACCTGAAGATCCTTCTCTTCAACTGCGCCTGTGGTGACACCCCCGCCCCCCCCCCACTCCCTCCCTTTTCCCTCGCTCAGTGTCTGCCTTGCCACTGTTTTGAGAGAGATGTTACCCTAAGTCAGAGGGGAGGGGGAATGGGGGAGGTGGGGATGCCCTATTTGTGAAATGTTGGGCCGCGTAAGCAACATTTTTGTGTTTCCCTTCCAAAAACATAACATAATGTTTACAGGTTGTGGGGGGGGGGGGGGGGCAGATGAAACGGAGGGAGGGAGAGAGGGGCAGTGGTTGAAATCAGCTTGTGGGCCGAATGTGGCCCACGGGCCACCAGTTGGACCACTTTGCTCTAATTGTTGTTCCTGTTCAGGCCCCAAACCTCACCAAGTTCCTGATCCCAGCCGTTTGGGCAGGGGTTCAGTTGACCTCGGCTCCTTAAGGGTGGGCTGGTTGGTTGGTGGGTTAGCGGTAGTGGGAGTGGGGAGGGGGAAGAGGGGGCAAGGAGGAGGGGGAGAGTGAGAGGGGGGGGGGAGGGAGTGGCAGCGGCAGATTCCCCTCCCCATACCAGCACACGCACCATTCCAATCCATCCTCCCGCCCTCATTCCCATTCCGCAAAACAAAAAGCATAATTAGTCAGTAATTATGGACTTTATCAGGAAATGTGTGTGACTGAGGTGGAGTGTAGAACCTCCCAGGTGCAGCCAGCGCAGGGAAACCTGGAGCCAAGCACTTCCCAACCACCTGCTCCTCTTCTCCGCCTGTTGCACCTTACCAGCAATTCACAGTGTCAGGGCGGCCATGGATACTCCTCCCGCCTCCCTCGACCCTTCCTCGCTCTCCCCGTTTGCCCCCTCCCTCCCCAAAGCCCTACCAAGCCAGCCCTCCCCTTTCCTGGGTGCCTTGTGCCGTGGCTCCTGCTCCAGTTAGAGGCACCGGCCTTTGCTGAGAGACAAGTCTCTTCTGGACGCGGATCACTGGGATGTTCAAGAGCCGGTTGAGTAACTGGGGATTGAGAAAGCAAAACCCCGAGCAAAACTTTCACGGACGTCAGCCGAGGCACGGGGGAGAGGGCACGGGGTCAGGGGCAAATCCAGCACAGAAACCAGGAAGCGTTGGCCTGGGACAGAAACCGGGAAGTATTCCTTGGGACAGAGGCCGGGAAGCATTGTGTGGGTGTGGGAGAGGAACAGTGGACGTTTGGCGATTGAGGGAGGGCTTTGAGGGGAGGAAGTGAGTGGATTATGATTGATGATTGACCAACTTGACCAGCGTTGAACCATTCCCGCCGGGGGGCTGGTGAGTCGGTCGGTCACTGGAGAAGCACCGGGTACAGAGCAAAGCTCTTTGTAAACTTCCGTGAGTGGAAACCTGACACACGAGTCGTGTCGGTCGGGAACCGTAAACATTTAGTACGACTCGTGCGAAGGGAGGAGTCATGTCAAACTTTGCTTGAGGCGTATCCCACACGACTGGGGTGGGGGGGGTGGGGGTGGGGGGGGGGGTGGGGGGGGTGGGGGGGGGCAAAGTTCTGTATCATTGGGATTTGACGTGAGTTCCACACAACCAATTACTGTATATAAATATATATATCTACACAACTCCCGCCTGTTTCGCTACGGCAACTGGAGGAACAGGCCTCGATGGGCTGAATGCCCCCCCCCCACCCCCCGCCCCCCGCCCCCCGCCCCGTTCCTCCGTGAATCTCTCTGGAGGAAACGCAACAAGTCCCTTCGACTCGTTTACATCCCCGAAGCCGACCCCCCCCCCCCAAAAAAATTCCCAGGAACGCTCCTCGTTTCCTCCCTCGAGACACGCTTCCCGGTTCCCGTCGGGTGCAGCGACTGTGTGTTTTGGAGCCTCAAGCGGGAGCCGGTTTGCGCCCAGCGACATCCTCTACCCCAATCATCCCCCCCACCCTCACCCCACCCCCCCCCCCCACACCCCCCTCCCGCCCCCGCAACGAGCGATTTTATCTGTGGGGGGTGTGGGGGGAGGAATTGTCAGCCAGGGGTAGGGGGGGAGAGAGAGGGAAACCCACTTCTCTTTTCCCACCAGCGTCCTATCCCCCACGACCTGAGCTTCCCCTCCCCGTCCCAACACGGGGGGACGGGGGGCGGTGAATATCTCTGCCCCCCCCCCCCCCCCCCCCCGCCCCGAGAAGGGCAGTTTTTTCTGCTGTATAATTCAGCGGAGGATTGGATCGTGGCTTCTCTGCTCTCAACGTGACGGGTGGGAGCGGTTCTGTGTGCCTTCGCTCTCTCGTGCTTCTCAGTGTATAACTCTGTGTATCTTTTTGTGCTTTTTTTCTTTTTTTTCCCTCTCCCCTTCTCTTCCCGTTTTCTTTCTCTCTCTCTCCCTCTCTCCCTCTCTCTCTCTCTCTCTTCCCTGTCTCCGACTCTCCTCACTCTCCTCTGTGTTCGTTCGCTGCTGTCACGATTTGTCCTGTCCTGTGCTCCCCCCCCCCCACCCCCTCCTCTCCTCCCACCCCCCACTCTGTTCCCTGTCTCCCCCTATCCTGTCTCGGTGTTGCCCCCCCCCCCCCCTCACTCCTGTGTGTGAGCAGAGGAGAAAAGTTCGGAATCGTGGGAATAACCTCGCTGTATGTACCCTGTCTAAGTCTCTTTCTTCTCTTGTGCCTGTCTTTAAGCTTCAAATAACGGAGCTCGCTGAGCTTTGCAGGGTGGGGGGGGGGGGTTGGTGGGGGTGGGGGGGGTTGGTGGGGGGGGGGGGGTGTTGGTGGGGGGGGGGGGGTGTTGGTGGGGTGGGGGGGGTTGGTGGGGGGGGGGGGCCTGTTCAGTTGCTGACGGCACCATCTTCATCAAATAATTTGAGGCAAACTTGTTCCCCAGTTTTTAGGGGGACTTTGCTCTGCCCTGAGTTCTCTTCCCTTCCCTTCCCTCGCCCCCCACCCCCAACCCTCCCCCCGACCCCCCCCACCACTGCCCTGCAAATTCCCAGGCTTCTCCACGTGCGCTGAGAGCAGTTATAACGTCCCCCCACCCCCCACCTCACAGCCCCCCCCCCCCCCCCCCCACTGAGATCAGCACAAAATTGAGTCTCTTCCATCTGTTTATTCTCTCTCTCTGTCTCTCTCTATATATATACACACATTTGGACAGGGCCCAAAGTTGAGCAAGGAATGGTTCTCCACTCCCCGCACACGCGCCGGTCCGGTGGTTACCAGCAGTCAGTAGGAACCCGGTTGTTGGTGGGTTGAAGGATCCCTTTCTGGGGGTAATAATCCCTTCGAAAAAAAAATTTAAAATAATAAATTGAGTCACTTCAATCCGGGACTGTTTGTGAGGCCGTCGCCGGGCGCGTTTCGCCCAGAAACCGTACAGTCACTACGCTTGACAGTGTACCCCGGGAAGCGCTTTGAGACGTCTCGAAGACGTGATGAGGCGCCGGGTCAAATGCCAAGGATTATTATTATTATTATTATTCTGTGTTTAAAAAAAGGAAGCAACTGGTAAGAGCTGAACATGCCCCTTGGGTGGTCTCTGCATGGCTGCTGAGGGTCTCGCCTCTCGTTGCCTTGGGATGGAGGCGGTCATTTTGTTGAGGGCAAAATGGCTGCCCAAGTAACCGGTCAAAGGATTGCATGCGCGGGGCGGGGTGGGGCGGGGCAGGGCAGGGTGGGGCAAGAGGGGGTAGTTCCCTGAAATCTGGCTGGAATGTTCCTGCATGGCAGTCTGCTGATTTGTGATGGACTTGGGGGGAGGAGGAGGGGAGAGGGTCCCAAATTCCACCCAGTCTCAGCCTGCGCCACCTCCGAGGTCCCTGGGGACTCGAGGCTCGATTCTTATTGGGGAAAAAAAACCGACGTTTTCCAAACCCAAGGCTTTGGAGCGATGGGGGTTCGCACGTGCCTCAGGCTGAGGCTCGGCTGAATCGAAGGCCTCCACTGCCTCTCCGCAGACTGGGAGAGAGGTGGCAATGTTGGTGGTGAGATACGGCCCCCCCTTGTGGCCCACTTGGAACATCGCACACAGGTGGTTTGATCGATCGGCCCATCAGTAGGTCGATGGGTGTCGATAGAGACGAGAGAGACATCAGATACACAGAGAGATAGAAAGAATACGTATGTGTGTGTATGTGCTTAACGTGCATCTTGTATACATAACCTACACTATCCTACAGGCAATGTATGTTCATTCCACGTGTGTAAGTGATTGCAGGCACATGTGTATGCAGGAGGTGTGCACGGTGTGTGCTGGAGTATGTCGCAGTGTGTGTGTAGTGGTGTATGTTACCGTATATTAGTGTGTGTGTGTAGTTGACGGATGTGGATGTACCTGTAAATGCAACGCGTGTGTGTGACAAATGAACGTGTGTTCATATGTGTTCAATATCGGCGCCAATATGGTAAGTGTATAATTGTATGCAGAGTGCATGTATGTACGTATGTTACTCTATGTGCAAAACACGTAGATTATCCCGTGTATATTTCATGGCCGCTCTCCCAGTGTTCACCGTGTGTTCTCTCTGGCTTTCCCTCTTGCCCCTCGTGCCCTCCGCGCTTTCACCCACTCCGCCCCGAAACTCCGGAACTCTTTCCCTCGTGCCCTCCGCTTCGCCCCCTTTCCTCACGTGGAAACATTGAAACCGGAGGAGGCCATTCAGCCCCTTGAGCCTGTCCCGCCATCCTATAAAATACAGTCACTACACTTTACAGTGTGTTCTGTGAAAGCGCTTTGAGACGCCTCGAAGACGTGATACGGCGCTGGGTCAAACGCCAGGATTATTATTGTTATTGGAAGATCCCTCCCCATCTTCAGGTCGCCCCTAAAGACCTTTCCTCTTCGAACTACGGTCACCCCCCCCCCCCCCCTCACTCCCCCCACCCCCCGGCCCAGCATTGTCAAGCAACTCTGGGCGATACCCTGCATGAGGGAGGGAGGGGGAGGGAGGGAGGGAGGCAGTGACTGAGTAACTGAGCTCTCTCTCTCTCTCTCGCTGTGTGTGTGTGTGTGTGTGTGTGTGTGTGTGCGTATGTGTGTGGGTGTGCGTGTATGGTGTGTGTGGGTGTGTGTGTATGGTGTGTGTGCGTGTGTTGTCGTGGCGGGTGGTGGGAGGTGTAACCGGGCTGTGATTGTGCTGCAGACGATCGCTGACACCAGCCCCATAAAGCGCTCGGCCTCCACACTGGGCCACCTGCGGCCCAAGGGCGTCCGACTGGACGATTACTCGTTGGAGCGAGTGATCCCCGAGGAGAGCCAGAGGCCCCATCGCCGCCGAGAGCGGGGTCACCGGACCTCGGAGAGGTCACTGAGCCGCTACACTGACGCTGACACGGGTAGGCCCCCCACACGCCTCCCACACGCCCCGCACACGCCCCGCATATGCCCTGCACACGCCTCCCACACACGCCTTCCACCCACATCCCGCACATGCCTCCCGTACACGGCTCCTACACATGCCCCGCACACAAGCCCCGCACACGCCTCACACACACCGCACACACGCGCCCCCCACACACGCCTCCCACACATGCCACACACACGCCTCCACATGCCCTGCACACAACTCACACAATCCCCAAACCTACATGGCTTATTCCCAGGGCCTGTGGGGCAGATGGGGAACAAGATTGAGTCGTGTCTCGAGCCAACCCTGTTCTCTCTCCCTCTCTCCCTCCTCCCTCCCTCCCTCTCTCCCTCTCTCTCTCTCCCTCCTCCCTCCCTCTCCCTCTCTCTCTCCCTCCTCCCTCCCTCTCTCTCTCCCTCCTCCCTCCCTCCTCCCTCTCTCTCTCTCCCTCCTCCCTCCCTCTCTCCCTTCCTCTCTCCCTCCCTCTCTCTCAGGCCTGGGCACAGACCTCAGCACCACCACACAGTCCGGTGACCTCCCGGCGAAGGAGAAGGACCGGGAACGAGGGCGGCCGAAAGATCGTAAACACCACCACCATCACCACCACCACCACGTGTCCTCGTCAGACAAGGAACGGTTCTCCCAGGAGAGACACGAGCACGGACGGCCCCGCTCCCGGGAACGCCGGTGGTCCCGCTCCCCCAGCGCCGGGCGGGAGTGTGGCACGCACAGACAGGTGGGTCCACACGGGATCCGAACACGGGGTGAGCGAGAGAGAGAGAGAGAGAGAGACCGTCAAATCATCTCTCCTTGGGGGAGAAGTCGGAGTGGGGGCGGAGGGGACGGGGGGTGGGGGGGTGTCTATTGTACACTGTCATGTTGTGGTTAGACCACACAGACACATAGGCACACAGACACGTACACAGACACATGGGCATACAGACACACACAAAAACACGCACACAGACACACACACAGACACATAGGCATACAGACACGCACACATATAGACACACACACACAGACAGGCACCCACACAGACACGCACCCACACAGACACGCACCCACACAGACATGCACCCACACAGACACGCACCCACACAGACACGCACCCACACAGACTCACAAAAACACCCGCAAAACACCACAGTCACTGCCCTCCCGACAATACTGTGCCCCACCCCGTGGGAAGCTCGGCCATTGGCTTCCGCAGTTGGGTTGCCCCGATGGCTCCCCGGAAGCACACGGTCGCGGTACAAGTAAATGTCTCTGCGTGAGGGAGAGCGGTGTAAATAGAAGCTGTAGTCGTTCTCAAATCCCGACAAACTGCTGGACCGCGAGGCGGGGACTGACTGACGAGAGATTCTGCCTGAATTGCTGAGACAGACACAGACAGGAGAACACTCCACTCGGAGGCCTTGACTGACGGGACTGCGTGTCTCTGTCTCTGTGTCTCTCTGTCTGTCGCCGCCTCACACTGTGGTCAATGACGATGGCTGACGGCAACTCATGGCCTGGATGTTAGGACTGTGGCTGACGTCAGTCTGTCAGGTCTTGTGTCTCTCTCGTCTCCTGCTATGATGTGATGTTGGCAGCTTCTGTGCTGGTTACATGGGGCGGGATGGGGTGGTGGGGGGAAGTGTGTGTGTGGGGGGGTGGGGGGGTGGGTGGTTAGTGTGTGTGTGAGGGGGTTGTGAGTATCCTGTGGAATCCTGTAGCTCAGGGGTTAGACCCCTCGCCTCTCAAGCCAGAGGACCCGGGTTCGATTCCTGGGCGGGTCAGGTCAGGGCAAAACCTTAGGCAAGTTTTCTTACTCCCCACACACACAGACACACACACTCACACACACACACACACTCACACACACACACTCACACACACACACACACTCACACACACTCACACTCACACACACACACTCACACACTCACACACACACTCACACACACACACACACAGGTACACTCACACACACAGGCACACACGCACATACACACACACACACACAGGCACACACACAGACAAATACACACACACACTCACACACACACACAGGTACACTCACACACACAGGCACACACGCACATATACACACACACAGGCACACACACAGACAAATACACACACACACTCACACACACAGACACGCACAAGGGGAGCGCAAAGAGGGGCAGAGGGGGAGATAGAGACAGAGAGAGGAGGGGGCAGGGAGAGAGAGAGAGAGAGAGAGAGGGGGTGGGGTGGCAGAGAGAGGGGGGAAGAGGGGGCGAGAGAGAGAGAGAGAGAGAGAGAGACGATGAGAGGAGGGGGACAGGGAGAGAGAGGGTTGGGGAGAGAGAAGGGGGGCAGGGGGAGAGAGAGCGAGCCTGGGGGCTGTCCCTGTGTGACTGGCTGTATAGAGCGCGAGAGGGGTGGGCAGACAGAGGGGGGGGGGGGGGTGGGGGTGGGGGGGGAGATGGAGAGAGCGAGAGCTGTGTGTGTAGGTGGGGGTTAGGTCAGGGCTGCTCTTTGACCCCTTGAACTTACAAGCATCATTTTTTCTCTTCATCTTTGTGTTGGCTTTTTCTGTTCTTGTGCTCGTTGCCCCCCCAACCTGCCCCCCCACCCCCCACCCACCCCAAACTGCCCCCCTCCCTCCCCCCCCCCCCCCCCCACCCCATCCTCAACCCACACCATTGTGTCCCTCCATCAAACCCCATCTCCCCCATGTTTCTCTGATCCCTACCCCACTCCCCATTTTCTCCTTCTCTCTCTCTCTCTCTCTCTCTCTTTCCCTCTCGTTCTCTATTTCTGTCTCTTTCCCTCTCACTCTCCCTCTCTCCCTCTCCCTCTCTCCCTCTCCCTCTCTCTGGCTTCCCCCCCCACCTCATCCCCACTCCCTCCCCCTCCTCCCGGATGTGTGTTTTATTGCTTCCCGCCTCTCGTGTGTACCTGTGCGTGTGCGTGTGTGTACGTACGCATGGTGTGTGCGCATTATTTTCTCACACTTTCCCCACCCACACTTTTTGTCGTCGTCTGTCCCCGTTGTTGCGTCACTATTACCCCCCCCACCCCACCACCGCCACCCCCTCTCCCCCTCCCCCCTCTCCTCCCCTCCTCCTGTCCCGTTCCGTTCTGTTTGTTTTTCTTTTTATTTTTTGATTTTTCTTTTTTTTTTCCCTTTCACTTTTCATGCAGGGCAGTAGTTCGGTGAGTGCCAGTCCGGTGCCCTCCACGTCTGGCACGAGCACCCCGAGACGAGGCCGCAGGCAGCTGCCCCCCACCCCGGCCACCCCCAGGCCCCACATCACCTATTCCCCCGTGGTCCGGAAGGCGATGGGCCCCTCGTCCTCTTCCTCCCAACAACAACAACAACAACAACATCAGCAGCAACCGCAGCAGCAGCAACAACAACATCACCACCACCACCACCACCAACCGGGCCGCACCTCAAGCCCCAGCCTCCGCCGGCGCTCTCCTCCGCTCCCGGACAGCCCTAGAGCAGACCATCACCGCAGCCGGTCGCCAGGCCCCGACCGGACCAGCCAGAGCCGCCGCGAGTCTCCCCGGCTTCACCGCCCGCCCGACAGCCGCTGGTCCACCCCGGGCCCCGGCCCCGGCCCCCACCACCACCACCACCACCACCACCTGTCGGGGGAGGCCGTGTATTACTGCCCACCCGAGGGCCCCGGACACGACCCGGAGACGCTGACCTTCGAGGCGGCAGTGGCCGCCGGCTCCGGCTCGCGGTCGCCCAGGACTTCCCGCCGAGGGGGGGGCCTCCCCTCGCCCCCCAGCCAGGGACGCCGGGTGCCGAACGGATATTACCACGAACTGGGGGCCCTGAAGAGGAGGGGGCCCGAGGGCAGGAAAGGGGCTCACGAGGCCTACAGTGAGACCGACGAGGATGACTGGTGCTAACACACCCCCACCCCCCCACCCCTTCCCCTCCACCTCCCTCTTCCACCTCCCCCAACACTCTAACCCCCCCACCCTCCACCTTTCCTCTCCCCCCCCTCCCATTGGTATCCCCTCACTCTGCGCGAGTGAGGAGAAAGTGGGGTGGGGGGGGGAGGCTGGGGGGCTGTGTTCAGGGCAATGAGGGATTTGCAATTTTGGGGGGGAAAAAAACCTTCATATCATATCTCCCCCCCCCCCCGCCCTTCCCTGACCACCCCCAACCCCATCCCCACCTCCACCACACGCCACCCCTTCCCCTCTCTGAGCTTTAAGGAAATCCTTAACCCCCCCCACAACACTCGCAGAGAGAGAGAGAGAGAGAGAGAGAGAGAGAGAGTTCCTTAACCCCCCAAAAAGACACCGTTGAACACCCAAAATGCATGAAAAAAAGACTTCGGAAAATTAAGTTTAAAAAAATGAACAAATTGGGAAGGGGGGGGGAAGGGGAGGGAAGGGAAGGGGGGGGGAAGGGGAGGGGGTATTGTTCAGAGTATTTGTATGGAAGAAGGGAGAGGGGCAAATAAAATGGAATGTGCATGTTAAATGTAAAATATGTGGGTTTAAAGCATAATGGGTGGGGGGAGGGATGGGATTAAAGGGGAGGGGGCAAAATGGGGTAATAAGTGGGGGGGAAACTTACACCTCTGAAGGTGCTTATCGATGAGTTTTATCATCCTGATGTCTACAACAACAACTTGCATTTCTACAGCGACCTTTCACCCAGGATAGCGTCCCTAAGTCTATTAATAAGTCAATGGGGGGAGTAAAGAAGAGATAGCCAGTGGGTGACCTTACCGGACATTGTGGAGGTTGTGGGTGGGGGGGGGGGACACAATGGGGGTGCGGGGGGGTGAATAGGGAGCTTTGGGAGGAGATAGAAATTGCAATAGCCCCCACTCTCTCTCTCTCTCTCTCTCGTCTCTCTCGCTCAGAAGGATTTCCCATTTCCTTTTTCGTTGGGGTAGGTGGGAAATTAAGACCCCCCCCTAAAGCCCCCACCCCCCCGGTGGCTTGTGATCTCATTGACTCCTCTATCAGCCCGAGAAGACTTGATCTGATCTCAGACAGACTTGGCCTGGGATTAAGGTGGATCGGAAAAATGGTCTTGGATGACGCTTTTGGGCTTGGGGGTGATGGTAGGGGTGGGTGGGGGCATTTCGTGAGGGGGTGGTGGTGGGAGGGGGGGAGAGGAAATGATGTGGGGGGAATGTCCTGCATTTGTTCCCCCCCCCCCCCTCCTCCCACCCCCTCCTCCCCTCTTTACGCTATTTAAGTGACGTCTTAATTTCCGAATGCGGTCAACGAAACAGGTTAATGAGCCTCTCGAGGGCATCAGACGTCTTGAGATTAGTGTGAACCACACACACACACACACACAACAGGTTTGAACACCAACCGCTTCGAAATTCCAACCAGTCTCAGCCCCAAACCCAGCCGCTCCCCCCCCGCCCCCAACCCATGCCCCCCCCCCAACCCCCATCACATCTTAAAACCCAACACACAATTGGGGTTCAGTTCGTAATTTGGAACCAAACTAATTTGAGTTTAACCGAACCACAGGCTAAGACTAAGTGGAATTTAGTGTGGGGAGGGGGGTGGGATGGCGGGGGCTCTTGGCATCTTGCGGTTATTTGGGGGAGGGCAGAGCTGTGCTCGTGTGTGAAGGGAGTGTGGGTGGTGGGGGGGAAGCAGGAGACATGGAGAGGGAGGGAGGGAGTGAGGAAAGAAGGGAGGAAGGAAAGGGGAGAACGAGACAAGAGTGGTAATGGAGGGGAGTGTCCATGTCCCCCCCCCACCCCCCCACCCCCCGCCACACATACACACATTTGTACAACAGTCCAGTGTGTGTGTGTGTGTGTGTAACAAGGAGGTGTTGACTATGTTTCGTAATGATCTGATCTTCCCAGTTTTGCTCACTTATGTTTAAAGTCACGTGTGCACCTCCCAGTGCCTTGTAAGGAGGATTAATACTGCAGCCCCCCCCACCCACCCCCCCAACCCACCCCCCAACCCACCCCCCAACCCCCCACCCCACCCCTTCCCTCCCTCTCCCCCATTCCTCTCTGAAACCAAGACGCAGAGTGATTCCTATGTTATGGCCTGAGTTTCCCTTCGATTGCCAACCTTCTTTGATCCCCCCACCCGCCCAATCCTCTCCTTGCTGTTACAGCCACTACACTTTACAGTGTGTCCTGTGAAGCGCTTTGAGACGTCTCGAAGACCTGATGAGGCGCCGGGTCAAATGCCAGGATTATTATTATTATTATTATTATTAGATGGCGAACTGTTTGATTTGGTAAAACTTCCAAATTCAGGTAGAATTCTCCACACACACATAGACACATACACAGACAGACACACACACACACGCACTCAGACACACACACACTCAGACACACACACACACTCAGACACACTCAGACACACTCAGACACACTCACGCTCCTCTCAGCCACACTGAACGCAGCCGTCTCCCAGTTAACCTCTCAACAACAACGACAACTTGCACTTACACAGCATTCCTCACGCAGTGTAACATCCCAGAGAGCATTTGGATAACTCCACCAACCAGCGTCCAAACTCAGACCCGATTAAAGACCTCTCCCCCCTCCACAGCCCCACGATTCACATCACCACAACCCCCGCCCCCCCCCACCCCCACTCCCATCTTGAATTGTGTTGTCGAAACTGTGCCACGGGCTCAGGCCGGGTGGAATTTCAGGCCTCAGAGGATTGTTCTCTCGATGTGACGAGGTTTACATTTTGTGGGAATTCTGAGAGTCAGTTCTCTTCCAGTTTGTGGAATATTTTCCCCCCTTCCCCCCTCCTGAGTGGCTCCAAAACAAGCCTGATGTGTGTGTGTGTGTCTGTGGCAGGTGGAAAATGGTGACTCCCGTCTCCCGACTTTTTTGGGGAGGGGGGGGGCAAGATGTCACCGTGCGGAGATGGTCAAGGGGGGGTGGGCTTTGATTCTGGCCCTCACCCGTCACCCTCCTCGCCCTCTTTCTTCCCCCCCCCCCACCCCCCAGTAGCCACCGTTAAACCAAAATCTGACAGTGAGCACATCGTTGACGTGTGTGGGTGGGGGGGAGAGGGGGAAGGGGAGGGTGAGAGAGCGAGATGGGGGAGGAGGAGGAAATGTGACTTGTATACACTGTTTACGGTAATGTCTCGGTGGTGTTGTCGGAGAGAGGGGGCTGGGGGTTGGGGGGGAGTTGGGGATTGGGCGTGGGGTCTATTGGCAAATTGGCATTTCATCAGTGAAACGCGGTGATGGAAAGAGATGAGGTGTCTATTCAACAGCTGCGAGGCTGCCCCCTTCCTTTCCTACCCCCCCAACCCCCCTTAACACCCTACTGCCCCACCCACCCCCTCCTCTCCCCATCACAGCTCAGAGTGTTGTAAATAGCCTTTGTTATGTGCATGTACTCTTTTTACGGATCTCAGTATTAATTTGGTGAATGCCAACAGCCAACAACCAACAGCCAACAACCAACACCCAACAGCCAACAGCCAACAACCAACAACCAACAGCCAACAACCAACAGCCAACAATTGACAGCCGACTGACAAATAAGAGAGAGTGAGAATTACAAACATCATTCAACAAAAAGACCTATGCAATGCGTCTCCTGCCCTAGTCTGCGTCCTACCTTACTTAGCCAAGGCAGTATCTGCCCAGCACTCGCCCCCCCCCCCCGCTCGCTCGAAAGAAAGCTAACAAGCGCTATCTGTGTCCACAACAGTCCTGCAAGTCGAGAGGTCTTTGGGACGGTGCTGATAGTATTCTGCATGTTGTATGTTTAGCATGGCCTGTGGCATCCCACCCTCCCCCCACCTCCGCTCCCCTTCCTCCCTCCTCTACCTTCCTCATCCTCCCCTCCACACCCCCCCTCACCTTTCTGTTGCTGATGATTTGCAACCCGGTAAGTGCTAAATTGCACCTTAGCTTCTATTCTATTCGCACCTCGTGAACGGGGGAAACTGGTCAGTGGTGATTGGGGCATAAACTGTGTTGATAAAATGGTGCAAGTTAAATACCCTTCCTCCCTCCCTCTCCCCCCACGCCCCTCCTCCTCCTCCTCCTAACCCCACCCTCCTCTCCCTCTCTCCCCTGTGAGGGGGGAGCGGGTGTTTGGTAAATTGGCCTTCATCATCCCCTGGTTGACCCCCCCCCCCAGCCAACTGCTCAACTCTTGGTCAATTCCCTACTTCAAGGGCTGGTCAACTCCTAGTTAACTCCCGGACAAGCTTCCACACCCCCCGGACAAGCTGGAGAGACTCCCCCCCCCCAGCAATCCACCTCACTGAAGGTCAACCTTGGACCAAACCCATTCCGGAAACCATCCAGGAGATAACAGCCATTTTATTGGATTGTTACACAAATGTTAATCCCATTTTCCTGTCTTACTTCCATACCCTTTACTCCACTCACTCCCCTCTTGTCCGTCTCCCCTTTCAATTCCCCCCCACCCCCTCCCCAATCCAGTCTGCTTACCACAGTGTGGAACGTGTTCTCACTGTGTCGAGATTCCAAGAGCAAAGAAAGTTATTTTCGGCCATCGTGACTGTGCTGGGGCTCGCTCCCCCTCTGGAGCTCTCTCCCCCCCCCATGGTGTCTGTGCTGGGGCTCGCTCCCCCTCTGGAGCTCTCTCCCCCCCCCATGGTGTCTGTGCTGGGGCTCGCTCCCCCTCTGGAGCTCTCTTCCCCCCCCACCCCCCCCCATGGTGTCTGTGCTGGGGCTCACTCCCCCTCTGGAGCTCTCTCCCCCCCCCATGGTGTCTGTGCTGGGGCTCGCTCCCCCTCTGGAGCTCTCTGCTCTAACCCCATTCCCCGCTCTGACCTCCCACACCCTTTTCATTTATTTTAACATCAAGTCTGTGTCTAATTCCTTCTAAAAACTTAACAGAACTTTGACAACACTTTGATTGGGACCTGAGTTGGACCCCACTTTGGCCAAT